CCCTTAGTCTGAAACGTTCCCTACTCCCTGTCACTTGCTTTGAATGCGCTTCATTGGTTGAAAGGGGTGTTAGACACCCAGCCCATGTGCAGACCTCTGCGCTTAGGTGTTCGAGTCTAGATTTAAACGCCTTTAATGACCAGCACTGTGAAGTCTTGCACACAAGCTGGGGCAGAACTGGCTGGACCAGAAATGGACCAGCAGTGGCTTCCTGGGAAAGACTTCTTTCAGAAAGCTTTTTGGGTTTGTTTTTGTTTTTAAAAGACAACTCTTGATTATATTACAGGTAGTGTGGAAAGGCAGCAGAAATGAGAGCCTTCTCTAACTGAAGAAGCAACCACCAGACTTTGCGCTCCAAGATTCTACTTGCTTAGGAGGCTCAAAGCACCACACCATCCCACTACAGTGATCCAGGAGGTAATAGGTCACTTCAAAATTCTGGTGTCTGATTGCAATCAGTCATAGGAGTTACATACATCTTGTTTCTGCTTAGGTACCTTGGGCAGGCAAGCAGGTGACTACAGTGGAATTTACTTATTTTGGCATTTTTCCCAGCCTCCCACTCCAAGGGAATTTATGGGCATGTTGCCACAGAAGTATATTATTAGCTTAACTTCTAATTCGGTTTTTGAGGGGTTGCTGGTTTTAGTTTTAATTTATTCTTGGGGACAGGCCAATAGGCTTTGCTGATCTTTCCATATTCAGCAAAGCCCCTTTACCTTGAGGCAACCAGTTTATATAAAACACAAGGTGCTCTGGCTCTTGCAGAACATGTGGGTCAGAAAAACTACCCTTTTCTAAAAGGTACAGCAAGGCCCATTTTCCTCACCAGCTTGCTTACATTGTACTGGAGGTGACCCCCAGTCCCCAGCCTGTAGGCAGAGATGGTGCTCCAGCTCTGCTAAAGAGCAAAGCTCATTGAAGTGGACTGTGACTATGGGCAGCTGTGGCTCAGAGGCCAAAAACCTGGACAGACTGGCCACATCTGTACAATTAAACTGTCACAGCCTTCAAAATAGGGTGGCTTATTCCAAGCACTTGTAGTTGAGGAAGGATCTAATTGATCTGGGGGAAAAACATAGTTGTAATTAACAGTCTAAGTCATTGATTTCCTGTTCTGGGTATTGCTTTATGTCACTTATTTTTGATTTTGACATCACCTATGCCTCCTTGAGGTACTTTAGGATCACAGAATTGTTTTCTTACTAACTTTTCTACCACTTATTTCTCTGACCCATTACAAAACTTTGCAGTGTATATGACCTGGGAGTTTAGCAATAAAAGACTGTACTCCCAATAGCATGAAAAATTATTCTTTTCACTTAATTTCTAACTGGAAAGTAAATAGAGGTGGGGGTTATTTTTAGCTATACTCAAGTTACAAGCAAAAATATGTCTTTTGAGTGTAAAATGTGATGATATGCAAATAGAAAACAATCCTTTTTGCACCTAAAACATGTAAAACCAAATTCTCTATTTCAAAGGAAAAATAACTCTTCACTGAAATTGTGAAGCTTTCTGTTTTGCAAACCAAACTGAAGAAGCTAACTTAAAGACATGGGCAAAGCATTCATTCAGTGTAATATTTTCTATGAATTAATGTACAATTGTATATAATTGGTAATGTAATACATGATACAAGTTTCAAAATGCCATTGGAATACTTTTTAAGACCCACTGGGTTTCCTGCTCCAAGATATTAATGTATTGTTGGCAATCCCACTGATTCCAACCAAATGCTTATAGTTTATGAGATGTAAATTTAATTGCTCTGCATTAATTTCTAGGCACTGGTCCTAAAATCAGTCTCTCTGTCCCCCTCCCCTGTTCCCCCTCAATCAAACATAAATCAGGACATGTGCCAAGTCTTATTGACTTTCCTGCAACTCCATCTGTGTACAGGGATCTGCCACTGAAAGATGGTGCTTTAGCATCCCTAGTTTGTATGAGTTTAGCAAACTTGTGTGAATATGTTTTTCCTATCCCTCCTCCTAAAAAAAAAAAAGGTATATCCTAAATTATTCATAAAATTGGCTATCTATTAGAAAAGAACTTTCCCATTATTTTTTATTATCCTTGAAAAACACCTGGAGTGGAATAATACTAGCTGTGATTTCACTTCTACAGCATTCTTGGACAAAGTTCTACTTAGCAGCCACCTTGCACAAAAGTGGTAAGTTGCACAAGGTGGTGATTTCCCCACTCTGAAAAGAAGTGGTAATAGCTACATATAGCAATAGAATATACTGAACCGAATATATATCCAATTCAATATGTTCAGTCTGTCCCTGTCTCTTTCTCTATATACATATAACCTGCCAAGATACTGCTTTCTTGCATACAGGCAGCTTTTCATCTGTTTTTGATTGTTCATCAATTTTCTCCTCCTTTTTTTCAGCTCGTGTTACACTATTGACTATGTAATCCTTATTTTTCACTGAATAAAATCCTCTTTCTGTGACTGTCCTAAATTGTCCTAAATTGTTCAAGAAGTCTTCTGACAATAGGTTGCATTTTAATACATGAAAAAAATGTAATACTTTAAACAAACAAATCAATCTAAATCCTACCTTTTGTTTCCAGGAAGATCAGAAGTTTCTTCCGTCCTTCTTCAGCTGGTTGTGGAAGTGACTAGAGCTCTTCACCAAAGGGTCATTTATAGGTCTTCTGTTTCCTGATAGGACAAGGTGACTCAGTGTCACAGGTATTATAAAATTCAAATAGTGACCAGATAGAATAGCGCATTTGGCAAGTGCACATTCTTCTAAGGAGAAGGTTTTTTGCTTGTGTTCCATTTTTATTTCCTCTTACATCTTGTATTGGAAGAGATTAAATAGTCTGAAATGAGTTTTGTATGTATTGTTCCTTATATATGAAATTTGCAGTCAATGTGAACTCCAGGTACAAAGGCTGTCTGCTAATGATTGACACATCCAGTTATAGTGAGACTTGATCTTAAACTCCAGGAATGAAAATAAACTCGGCTGGCTACTGACGTGTCTCCAGACTGACATTGTAGTAACCAAGAAGGAATCTTGCCTATTGATTTTTCCATGGGGGTAAAAAACTTCTTGGGCCAAGTTCCTGTTCATGCTATGGATTCTTTACATCAATCCTGTAGTATAAAAGTCAAAGAAGTAGAGAAGACTATTTCTGTAATTGATTCTTTTACCCAGTATTGGATAAAGATTAAAAGATTATTGTGTGCACTAACATTAAAACACATTTAGTAGTTTGATTTGACATTGCCGGGTACATGGAGTAAGATGAGAATGGGTGGAAATACTGCCAGATCAGAAGGGTATTTGCGTGCACATAGACTGTTTCTGTTCACATTTAGTCTTAAGCAATTACTGACCAGAGCAGCTATCATTGTCTGCTTTTATATTAAACATTGGGGGTTTTTTATTTAAATTCAGGTCTTCCTTCCTCATTGCCACTCAACTCCTACCCTAGTCCCTTGTGAAGTGTGCCTTCAAAACAGTCGTTTGCTTTTAATTACCTGGGAAACCTGTATATAGGCTCTACCAGACAAAATGGGAGTGGATGATTTGTTGTTTTGTAATTATACGGAAATAAACACACTGTCAGCAAGTTTGTGGTTGACACCACATTGCCGGGAGCAGTCAATATGCTGGATAATAAGGCTGCTGTTCAGAGGAATCTCAAAAAGCTGGAGAAGTGATTTGACAGAAATGATCTGAAAGTAAGCAACTGGAAGAGACCAATTTTCTAGGGAGCAGCTCTTAAAAAAAGCACTTAAAGGTTGTTGGTGGACGACAAGTTGCATATGAGTAAACAGTGCACCCTTGCAACAGTGAGGGCTAACCATGTACCGCACTGCATCAGCCCCTACGTAGTGAGAGTATTGAGAACAGCACTTCTGAAACTGTCTGGACTAGCATGCCCAGTTTTGGAGTCCCCAGTACAAGAAAGACATTAACAAGCTGGAGTAAGCCTAGCAAAGGGCCACTATGTCGGCAAGGGGAAAGGCAGAGATGGACTCTTTTACAACATGGACATGAGGCAAGGACCACTGATTGCAACCCTAACTAGATAAAAAAAAAAAAAAAAATTTTACGGTGGGTTTGTTAAGGACTAAAGCAGATTGACTAGGGAGGTGGTGGATTTTGCATGCTTGGAGATATTAAAAACTGGGCAAGGTGCTGAGCAATCTAATCTTAAACTTTCAAGTTTACGATGTTTTGAACATGGTGTTAGACCAGATGAGCTTCAGATGTGCTGTACCACCAAAACTGTTCTAAGGTTGCATGATTTTTATATTGTTTACACTGGAAAGGCACCAAATGAGACTTGTGTTATTTTACTTGTTGACAGATATGACAATTTAATTACAGTGGGAAGCTCTAATTGTTGTATGAGAAAGCAAGTGTTACTAACATAATTGTTATAACCATTAATAATGAAAAGGTTGCATTCAGGTTATCAGTGAACCACGGATCCTAAGGTAAAGACTAGATCCTATAATGCTCACGTCATTCATCTCTCTGCCCAATATACACTGAGACCTCTTGAATCAACTCTCCATTCAAGTGTAAGAGTTGTCCTTAAACCTGAACGAATGATTCAGAACAACATCCTAT